TTAAATGGAGTCCAAAGGCTAATGAATTCGTTGTTGTGTATGGTTTCATGCCATCCAAAGCTGCTTTATATAATCTAAAATGCGACGTTGTTTTCGATTTTGGTGAAGGCCCTCGCAATTGTGCATATTTTAATGCCTTTGGAAATTATATCCTTTACAAACAAAGCTTTTTTTCTCCTAATTATATATTTTGATAAAATTTAATTTAATTAATTTAGAAATAACCTTAATATATCCAACTACCATTGGTGCGATAAAGAATATATAATATATATTTATTTATATACATATTTATAGAATTATAACTTCGAAAGTTATTCCTTAACTACTTTGCACTAGTTGTTTTAGCTGGTTTTGGAAACTTGCCTGGTAATGTTGAAATATGGGACGTTCAAAAGCGTGAAAAATTGGTGAATATTAAGTGTCCTGACACTACCCAATTTGAATGGAATCCAAACGGCGAGTATTTTATCACTGCCACTACATCCCCGAGACTACGAATAGGTAACGGGTAAGTTGAAATAATGTTTTCTTTATTAATATCATGAACTTTTTAAATTTTTTTTAAACAGGTTTAAGGTATATCATTACTCTGGTGCATTAATGCACGAAACTATTTGGCCGGTAGGACAGGAGTTATTGGGAGTAGAATGGCAACAGTTTCCTGAAAACACTTTCCCAGAACCTGTTATAACAAAAGTGAAGCAGGAGGGTATAAAATCGAGTCAACCTGAAGCAAGCAAAAAAGCGTATACGCCACCACATCTTCGCCTAATGAAGGAGGGTAAAAATCCAGAAAATTATATTCCACAACCGAAAGTCACAATTCCAGGAATGACAACAGGTAATCAACGCAAATATTGGCAAAAACAATATGATACAAACAATCCTATTATGAGGGCAAGCCAAAGAGCTGATATACAAAAAAATCAAAAACATCACAAAACCACTAATAATGATGGTTACCTTTATCGTTCAAATAATCGTTACCGACCTTATAAAAACAGACGTTGAACTAAAATAAAAAAAAATTTGCTTAAGCTTTTAATTAGATATCTCATTTTTTAAATTAGACAACACTAAGATACTTTCATATTATATACATATTATATTATATATAAATTAAAATAAAGTATTAAAAAGTATATTTTTCTTGTATTTTATTGAAGGAAATGGAGCAGCAAACAAGCGGAATTCTTCAAAATCAAACAAGAATAAGTCGCGAAATAAAAAGGAAGCTGCAGTTATTCTTGAAGGTCCTGTTTGTGAAGTTGTAGATAATGCAAATCTTGACACAACTAAATCTGATGAATCTGTAAAACGTCAGCGGTCTTCAAATACGAATCGAAGACAACAAGCAAAAAATAAAGCTGCAAATCAGCAAGTTGTTGCTACAGTAAAAGAAAATGGCAGTGAAACTGAAATTCAACAGCAACAGCAACAGCAGCAATTGCAACAGCAACAGCAACCAAGAAAGGTGGTTAATGCTGAAAAGGATAAGAAAATACGAGTTGTTGCTAAAAAGTTATCTGACATTAAGAAACTTAAAGCTCGTCAAGAGCAAGGTGAAACCCTCGAAATAAATCAACTGAACAAAATATCTATGGAAGGTAAATTGCTTGAGGAATTGAAGTCTTTGAAGTTATCTGCTTAGATTTACTTACAAGGACCTGTGGGAGCAATTCTGTCATTTGGCATGATTAACGCTCAATTAAATTTGTAGTGTTTATGTGGTTTGGCGTCCAGCGTTTTCCATTGTTTTAAAAATTCAAAATTATCATTGGTAAATTTTCGTTTGAGTTTTGATATATATTTTGTATGTTAAATTAATTTTTTTTTACTTATAAATTTGTAACAAAATTAAACTATTGTGATTTGTGAACCATCAGGAATAAGCCACTAAAGAATTAATAAAAGTAAATTATTTAATTATAACAATGAACGTTTTATTAAAACAATATACATATTATTTTTCCCAATTAGAGACTTTCTTTGTGAATGTTTCCTTACCATCATCTTGAACCGCAGCGTAATAGCCGAGATCTTCATATTTAGATCGCATATATGTAATATAACCAAGAACACCAGCAAAACAGGCAATACCCACACCCATAATTATTTTATTCTAAAAAAATATTGAATGCGTGACGTTGCATTATAGATAGATTCTGTTCCAAACAAATACTTACAGGTTTAGCGTATAATTCAAAATTTAATAGGCGAAAAACACTTGTGGTACGAACAGCTCTAATTCCTTTTACAAAGATATAAACAAACTACTTTTACAAAACACATTCGAAAATTTATACAAAAATAAAAAGAACTATGTTATACCATCTCCGGGTGTTGACATATTAGTCTTAACATTATCTGGCTTTTCCATTATTCAATAAATAAGTGCGCTTCGGTTATATATTAATTTCTATAAACTTGATATAACTATTTGCTTCGCAATCACCCTGCGACCGCATAAATGGGTTGTGTGGTGTGACATAATTATGTTTACCGAAATGTATTAAGTGTGCATATTTTGAAAAATTTAAATTACCTGCAATATTACCTTTTTTTGTATTTACCAGCAGAAAAAATTATTATTATATTATTATACCCCGACTAAATTGAGGTAAAGTAAATTGAAATTTCCTAGGGATTTTTTGCACTGCACTTATGTAAATATTTATTTATTTATTTATATAAAGAGGTTTTCGAACAGAAGTGAAACAACAACAAAAATTTATTTTTTAAATTATTTTAATTAATTGAATTTTTGGCTGACCATACAGCTGTTTCGAGTATTGCCAATTACCCTTCATCAGTGGTCTTGGAAATAATTCTTATATTTAATTATTCGTAAATAATTATTTTTGAGACTGCAAGTACCAGGAATCGAACTCGGGTTCTGCCAAATATAAAGCTCAGAATCAACGCACCTTAACCAACTGATCCAAACCAACTGAGTTTTGTTACTTTTGTTATGAAAGTTTTTATTAACAATTTATTTATTTATTGCACTTATTTATTATTTTTGATTAAAAGTTTTCAAATTTATTTATTTATTAATTAAACATCTTATATAATTTTCACACCTAATTTACCTAATTTTTATATAATTTACCCTACTGGAAATTCTGGTAAATACCAACATTTGCTGCCATATCGACAGAATTTACTATTTCCTTCAATTTACCATCAATTTACTTGAACTCACACACGGCTTAAAAGTGCTTTTAAGAACAATTTCTTAATAAGGGTAAGCTATAAATGAATCAAGACCATTAAAACTACTTTCAGGATTTAAGCAAAAAATACCAAATTGGTTTATTTACAATTAATTTGTTATTTGTTTAATCATATTTACACCAAAATGACAAATATAATATTTGATTATATGTTTTCTGTTTACATTATTCTATACATAATGTTAAATAAATCATACGGTTTTCTATGGCTCATTACAGCCTTATATGGCGTTTACATTGGCCGAAAATGACTCATTTTGGTCAAAAATTGAAAATGAGAAGCGAATGGCTCATTCTTGCATATAAAATTTCAAGCACAAAATGAGCAATTTTCTCACATTCTGTATGAATGACGTTCGAATGCATTCCACATACGTTCCAAATGCAAAGGAATCCATTGAACATACCCTAAATGAAAGCTCTTCATGGCATTTTGACAGTTAGAAAAAGCTGTTTTTAACATATTTACAAAAAAAGGTAAACAAATGTTTGGTGGTTGCATTTTCTTGAAAACGATGCACTGCTTTTTAGAACCTTTACTTCCCAAAAAGTAATTAATCGAAGTTAAAAATATGTTTTAAGTTTCTAATGTAAGGTTTGAAGGCATATTTAACCTTCATGCAACATTTTTTTGGCACAGGCCAAAAATCAAATCAACATGCAAGTTGAAAAATCAGCTGTTGAAATGAGAACAAATGAAATAGAACGAATGTAAACACTTTCAAATGGCTCATTCAAAATGAGCCATTTTCGGCCAATGTAAACGCCATATTACATTACGGCTTACATTACAACTTTCATGTAAATGAGCTCATTATCAATAAATCAGCTTATTTAAGGCGAAAATTATCGAATATATTTAATTTTTTTATGTGATGTACTATTAAGTGAAGTTTATAAAATTTTATAAAAGTTCGACCAGATGCTTAAATGAGCTCATTAACATAAATGACAGAAATTGATAATTGGTTTCTGAACTAACTTTTATATTGTTTTGATATGTGAACTTAACTAATAATTTTAATATAGTAAAGTACACATAGGATTAATAGTTATTATAAAATTTTATAAAGTACTTTATTAATAGTACTAACTATTACATAGTTTTAAATTATAAATGTATTACATAGTTTTAATTATAAATGTTCGTATAGTATTATACACATAACAGCTAATTTTATTGTATGATAATTACAAATTTAATTTAGTGAAATAGTTTTATATTAAAAACTTGCAATTAAAAATGCACACCAAATTGTACTAAAACTGCTGTACTAAAACCTACTGCCAATTTTAATACAGAATTTTTGTATAATAAGGCAACTCACTTTAGTACACTTTTGTATATCTACATACCACATTTGAGAACGCATTTGTCGGACATTCGGTATTAGCACGTGTTTTTTTTTATTAAAACAAACTGATTTGTTAATAGATTAATTTTAATAATGGCGGTTGCAGAGATTGTTGCTGCCGTTGTGCTTAATTATTTACAAAAAAAAGATAAAAATCTTGCAAAAGTTTTTCAGGGGAAAACAAAAGCTGTAAGTATGTTAAAATGTTTGCATGTGGAGTGAAAAAAAACTAACTGGCTTCACTTTATAAATGTATATATTAATTATATATAAAAGTTGCTAGATACATAAAATTTATGTTTCAATATTAATATAAATTCATCCAATTGTTATTTCATAATTTTAACACACCACGTGGTTACACTTATATTCTAGGGGGTTATTGGAAAAGACTCTCCAACCATAGAAGATATATTTCTGTTTTATCAACAAAATAGTAAAAAGAAAATTCAAGATATTAAAAAATCAAAAAAGAGCTCAAGTGAATCAGATAGCTCAGATGATGAACCTAATATAACTGCTGCTGCATTAACAAATGGTAAACTTGGTAAAAAAGCTGAAAGCAGTGATGATAGTTCTGATGAAGAGGAACCAGCCAAGACAAATGGAAAACCCATCACTGCGAAAACGCTTACAGCTAAGAAAACTACTTCTAGCTCTGAAGATTCTTCGTCAGAAGATGAGAAACCTGCAGCAAACAAGTCTATACTATCAGCAAATAAAACACCGGCAAATAAAGTACAAGTCAGTAAAGTACCAGTAGTAAAAAAGCAGGAATCATCTGATAGTGACGATAGTAGTGACGATGAGGATGAAAAAAGTAAAGCACCGGTGAAAAACTCAAGTGAAAAACGCACTGCAGCTATTAAGCCAACGGTAACAAAACCAGCTACAGCTAAGAAAGCTGCTTCAAGTTCTTCTGAAGAATCTGACGATGATGACAAACCTAGTAAATCACCTGTCCTGAAAAAAAAGGACAGTTCTGACTCTGAGTCGGATAGCTCGGAAGAGGATGTGAAGAAATTGAAACCTTTGATTCAAAAACCAAATACTACTAGCGAAGAGAGCTCAAGTGAAGAAGAGAAAAAACCTGTAAAGCCTATGGTAAAAAAATCTATTTTAACTCCTTCCGTTAAAAAACCGGACTCAAGTTCTGATGATTCTTCAGATGATAGTGAAGATACAAGTAAGAAACCTACACAGGCTAATAAACCTGTAGTAGCTACGAAGTCAGGTGTGCAAAAACCAGCAGCCGCGGCTAAACCAAAAAAAGCTGAGTCAAGTTCAGAGGACTCTTCTTCTGATGACGATAAGCCAGCTACTAAGAAACCTGCCGTAGTTAACAAACCAATTCCTTTAGCAAACAAAAAAGCAGAATCTAGTTCTGAGGACTCGTCTTCAGACGACGAACCAACCACTCAAAAAGCTGTAGTAGCAAATAAATCAACTACATCAATTTCAAAAAAATCAAAATCAAGTTCTGATGATTCATCTTCTGAAGATGAACCGGCGACTAAAAAGCCTGTAGCCGTAAGTAAACCAGCTGCTGTAAGTGCAAAAAAAGCAAAATCAAGTTCCGATGATTCATCTTCAGATGATAATGAGCCGGCTCCTGCAAAGACAGTAATTGAGAAAAATGTAATTAATAAAAAACAAGAGTCTAGTTCCGATGATACTTCATCAGAGGACGATGAACCAGCAGCAAAAAAACCTAATATAAAATCACCTGCAGCTGTCACAAAACCAGTTGCTAAAAATAATAAGTCGTCTTCTGATGAAGACAGTTCAGATGATGAAGATACTAATAAGTCTGTAGTGAAGAAAATAACAGCTTCTGTCCCACAAAAGAAAGATGACAGTACATCAGATGATAGCTCATCGGATGATGGCGAACCTACCGCGAAAAAGTTGAAAAAATCAACAGAACCTGTAGTGAAGAAAACAATAGTTAGTGCACCACAAAAGAAAGATGATAGTACATCCGATGACAGTTCATCAGATGATGATGAAACCACAGCGAAAAAGCCACAAAAAGCAAATGAATCTGTTGTGAAGAAAACTGGTGCTCAACAAAAGAAAAACGATAGTACATCTGATGACAGTTCCTCAGATGATGGCGAACCCACAGATAAGAAAGCGAAAAACGCAGAAGAAACACCTAAACCAAAATTAGGACAAAAAAGAAAATTCAGTGAATCTGCAGGTTCTGAAACAAAAACAAATAAATACAATAACTTTGTTAAAAGTGGCGAAGGCAAGGTATGTAGACTCATTAATTCTCATTGAATATGTAAAAATATTTCTACTTTGCAAATTTATTACTAAATCATATAAATAATGT